TGGCATTTGCAGTAACCTGGATGGAGTTGAAGACCATTATTCCCACTGAAGTAACCCAACAATGGAAAACCTAACATCATATGTTCTCAGTTATAAGTGGGAGCTAATCCATGAGGACACAAAGTTATAAGAACAATACAATGGACTTTGGGGACTTGAGGGGAAGGATGAAAGGGTGGGGGTTAAGGGATAAAAGACTACACATTGGGTACAGTGTACACTACTCAGGTGATGGGTACACCAAAATCTCAGAAATCATCACTAAAGAACTTATCTATGTAAACCAAACACTAACTGTTTCCCACAAACCTATTGAAATAAAAATAAATAAGTAAGTACATAAATTGGGGGGAGAAAAAAATAAAATTTCAATTAAATGTACATATGTGTGTATTTATGTCATTGATATAATATCTATCATTTACAAATAATCAGTTACTGAGGAAAAGTGTCCTAGATCCATAAAATTCTTTTCTGCTTGAAGGGTCCTATGGGAAGAGTTGTGTAGGTAACAGAGATCTTCTAATTACATTTTGCTTTTCACATCTTCAAAATGTTACAAAGGTGAATTTCATATTAACACAGTTTATATTGATAAATAGTATATTATACTTCAAAGTGAATTTATAATTCGTAAATATATGAGAGATTTGTCCATTTTGGATATCCATTTAGATCAGTTAAATTAGTTACAATTTAAATTTAGTAGATGTTTACTGAAAGTCTACAATTGATCACAAGTGTTATCACAATTAATAGTGTTTCTAAAATTAGAAACATGTAGTTTCTGTTGTGAAGTTGTCTATCATTTGAAAAAGAGAATTAATGTATAACAGGAGAACAAATGAGTATTCAATAATTTGTACTTGTAGTTTTGAATATTTGCTAATGATCACTCAGTTCTAAGACATGTATCAATTCCTGTTTAGGCTCCAGATTTTGAATTACACTCACTATTAGAAGCGTGGGATTTGATCAAATTATTAATGAATGGTCATTTACATTGTAATTAGATATGTTCTAATTTAATACATGTTAGAATTTAAAATATGAGGTGGGATTATTATTCGTATTTTAGAGATGTAGAAGTTATAACTGAAAATAATACTATTAAATTTGTGAATATTCCAAAATTAATTAACTATGAAAATGTCAAGGAGTCTACCTTACAAATATCTAAAATATTTGAAACATTTCAGAGTGTTAATGGTTTAGTTATAGACAAAATATCTACTCTTCAAAATTTATAGGACATAAAACAAGTGAAATAATCTATGGAGAAAACTTTAGAATAAAAGAGAAATAGGATGCTTCTGACTGTTTTAGAATAGAAGACTCAGGCTGAAATGCCCTCTAATTCTAATACCAGCCCACTTGGGCAAATTACAAAAAAAAAAAAAAAATTATTTGCATTGCTCATCTTACATGAAAATAAGAGAAATTTTCAAGGGCAGTCAAATAGCTGAAGGAACAGTGAGGTGAAACCAGAGAGAGACCTAAAGGAATACAAAAGCCAGCATTTCTTATGGACAGAGGTTTCCAACAATGAGATCTGAGGCATCTGCCTTGGGCCAAACTCAAGGTGGGAGAACAAGGAACCACAGATCTTGCATTAAGCCTGGATGGTTAAAGGGGGCTGACATGCCTCTATGTTAGTGATGCCTTTGGTTCTGGGTTGAAGCAAATTCAGGCTAATTAGAGGAAGGCATCTGCAAAATTTAGGCCCCTAAGAAGTCCCAGAGAGTAAAGAAAACTAATTATAACTTTAAAATAATATTACCTAACACAGAAGGAATCAAACTAACATGAGTGAGAGTTGTCAGAAGCAACAAACAACAGATTTAGACCCCAACATTTTCGATGCTGAAATTATTAGCCACAGGATATAAAATAAAATGTGTAATTGTTAAGAAATAATGGACAGAATGAAAAAAAAAAGAACATTGAAATTCATAAATAAATATATAAATGTGAAAATAATTCAAGAAGTTTCAGATATAGACAACCTCAAAATAACAAATACACAGGAGCTTCTGCTTTTAAACATGATGGATTAGTTTGTATCAGACAAACTGTTCCCACATGAGTAACTACAAAGCTTCAGTTCATAGTACAAAATTTAGGTGTTTAAAGACATTAGAGACATAAAAAATACAGCTAACACTTAAAAATCTGAAGTCCCAGAAAGAGGGGACGTGAATGGAAATAAGCCTGACATTCTTTACCATTTTTGCCTTTAATTGATTCACAAGCAGCTCTAGGCTAAGAGACTTTGCATACGTGTGGGCTGAGGCCACCAGGCAGTCTGATGAGGCTGAAAAGATACAAATTGCAGTTCAGGGCAATCAAGGCAATCAGGACCTTAGACTCCTATCCCTCAGTAAAGAGAATGGCAGGGCAACACTGCTTGTCTTCTCTGGGCATTTGCTGATTTTGAAGATGTACACAGCAAAAGGCAGAGATCCAGGCAGAAAATGGAAGTTAAGATGATAAACTTAGCTTATAAATAGTTGTAAGGCATAGATTTATCTCAGAACCAAGCAAAGCTAGTTCTGAGTTAAAAATGAAACAGCATTCGGGGCTCACCAAGAATGAGTGGCCCTGGTATAAAACAAGAAAGCGAAACAAGAGTAAGGCAGTCCTCACAAACACTAAATCTTGGTCTCAAATCATCCAATTCTTGCTTGGAAGAAGGCAATTTTCTCTTACTCTAAGTGTTTGCCTAAAAGAAAGTAAATTCTGTCTTAGAAAACTTAATATTATCCAGAGCATCTATATATTTTCTTATACAATATCCATCATTCTTTCAAACATTGCCAGGTGTGTTATGCTACCTACTAGATATTTACAGCAGGCTTCTGAAGTATCAAAATTATTTCCTTTAAAATAAAGAAAATGACGGGATTGTACCATAGGCTGTTACTACTGACCAAACAATGCTCAAGAAACTGCAAAAAATGCAATAATTAGAAGACAGGTACTAATATATCAATATTCATTATTATATGTGTGATTAAATGCATAAAAATTAAAATACAAAAAGTTCAATCTCAATAATAAGAAGAGAAATATAAATATAATGACGAACACTTGGGGATTGATTATACGACTCCATATTTTGTTATGTTAAAACTTATTCATAAAAAAATTTTTGACAAGACAGTAAAACTGTCATTCTATATAACTTGGTAATATTATAAATTCTTATATATTTTCTAAAAAGAAATAAGCTTATATGTCACAAAGGCTTTCCTTTCCCACCCAGTAATTTTTCATCTAGATGTCTATTTAAGGAAATACTCAGCGATTAGGATAAACTTTTATGTATGTGGATGCTAATGGTGGCATTATGTATATAAAAAATAATTGAATCCCAGCAAAGTGTTTAATAATAGGGTTAAGCTCAAGTAAACTGTGACATTTCCATGTGAATAATAATTAGTGAGCAATTTGAAGTGTCTTTCAAAAATGTAATAACATAGTTTCACGCATACAATGTAAGTAATGACTACAAGCAACAAAAGTAACAACTTCAAGGATGTTAGTAAATCTATATATACCTATACTTAGGTGCCTAGCTATATAATGTCCGAGAGAGGAAGTTGAATACCATGATAAATAGGTATATTTCTATAGAAATATAAATAGTTATATGTGTGTATATATATAGTTATATGTATATATATACACATATATTATATAGATATAGATATAGAGATTATATATCTGATGTTTTTTGAAGTAAACATCAAAATCACCATCCAGATTCTGTCTTTTGGGAAAGAGATTACCCCAGACAGAAGATATTTTATTGTGTTTTAAAGAAGTTTCTAAGGCTTTCTTACTTCAATAATAGTGTATTCTAAGCTTTAGTACCTTCTCCCAGGACGAATATTCTCTTTTATGTGTGCCTGTATTCATCCATGTGATGACAAACATTTAGCCCTTTTACTGTCTAGATTTGCTATGTACTTATAAAAGAAATCTCTTTTCTTTAGACTTCTGCATTGTCATATGTTACAGGAGTTGCTGTTTTCCAAAAATAAACTATGAAAACCATCTAACAGCCATAGGATATCTTTTTGACAGATAACAAATAAGAATGTGTCATTCCTTATTGATTACATAAGTTTTTTCCCTTCAGCTACAATTTTGAAATCTCCGTTCACAATGATTGAAATGTTTGTTTTTTTTTGTTGTTGTTCTCATTTATCTTAATAATTTAAAAAAAGATGCTGAATATTTGGTCATACTCTATTGTTGCCAATTTCAGTTTTTTTATACTTACTAGAAGTATCTTATGGTTAGTTATATCATTTATTAGAAACAAACATGAAAATTACACATTTTAAATATTATTTTTCTTGTGTACTTATTCAGGAAAATTAAGACAGACATAAGAAAATCTGAAGAGGACAAATTTTTGGAGATTTTTCCAGTAACTCTAAAAGCATAAGAATAAAATCTTTAAATGCATATGTTTAATTTTAAACAAATGATTCACTTTCTTTTGAAGGACTGAATTAGTAAACACAATTAAAACTATAAATTATAACTTTTACCATTCTTATACTTCTTTATAATTGTCTACTTATTTATCTGGCTTCTATGTGACATTCTCAACTTCTCAAAGATTCTCTTCATAATTGAGATCCCAGGAAGAATTTGCCTAGTATTTTACATTTCTTAGCATTGAAATACCATTCTCAATATGTCCAAAAAATTGTTTGGCCTGTGTTAAGTGACTCAAATCTCTTTTTTATTTTATATGAAATCTTGTACATAATGCACAGGAAATGAATAAGGAACTTAAAGATGAATAAGAAGCAGAAAGCACCTACAGACCAAAAATAAGAGATATTTAATTTCTCTCTTAATCTGAAATAACAATAATTAAAGCTAAGTTTATGTAAATTTTTGTGATATTAACCATTACAATATTAAAGCTGCATCACAATATAACACAGGATGTATAGTTATATAAATCCAAAATTATATAC